TGGTCTGACAGTCAGTTGAAAAGCACTAAAAGGTTGACCTGTGAACACTGTGAGACGAAGACAATAAAACGTTTACATCACATCCATGTGAATTCTCAGCAGCTAGGTTTTATAACCAATATGTAAACATCCACTAAAATATTATTGTAGATAACTCATCACAAATCAATCCGTTTGTGTGTGTGTGTGTGTGTGTGTGTGTGTGTGTGTGTGTGTGTGTGTGCGTGTGTGTGTATGTGGAAAAGAGGAAGAGGTGGGGGGGGGTGACACAGCATTAAAAGGTGACAATCACTTGTGTTTATCATGGGATCAGAGATAGCTGTTATTTAGTGAACAGGTGGTGACTCCTCTCGGTGATTCACTGTGGATCTAACTGAGGGAATCAGTGAGCCGCGTGCTGTTTGTTAAGACATGGGGAAAAGCTGCCGAGCCAGCAGGTTTTTTATTGTGACCATCGTCTTGGCCCTGATCTCCGTGGTAACCATTGTCACGTTGTGGACTATTGCCCTAACAGAAGAAAACCATGGTGGTGACGTCACAACTCCTTGGGACAGGTAGGACATTGAAGTCTGACGCTTCTGTGTCCTTGAAGGACAATAACACATAATATAAAACGTAGGAGGGGGAACGGAATGGTGCAATACAATGAATGAGGAATACATTTGGTACAATACATCTTGGCCTATCCCTTTATTTCAATCCCTTAACCAAATACAGTGTGATCAAATGTGAAGCTTGAGCTGAAATGTTCAGAGAGGTAAATCATGTTTGTCTATTGATGAATAGAAACCCTGACTGAAATATACAGAGCTGGTTTATCTTGTTCATCTATTGATGGATAATATAATAATAATAACAATAATAATAACTAGAAAATTCCAGGGAAATTTTGAGTGCCACGGGGGCTACTGCCGGGATGAGTACATGATTTATTTCCAGTGTTCAAAAGTCACCCTGATCATATTCTGGTTTTGAGAAATGTCTTGATATAAAAGACTCTGATATAAAACAATGTCACATCCCTCCATCATGTATTATGTGGGAAATATCTCATATTCTGTGTTGTTTTTTTTAATAAAACAAGAGGCAACATGTCTTCAAACTGGCATTTAAAGGGTTAAAATCCTGAAAACTAATAAACATTTGGTAGGTTTGAGCAGAACTGAAGTGGTTTAAGAGATGTATGCAAAAAAAAGCAGAAAAAAATATTGATATATGATTGAGTTTACATGTTATGTAAAAACAGTTGCTGTGTTTTTGAGAGAGCAGAAGTTTTCCTCCGTTTTATAGTTTGAATCACATTTCTACGTGCATGTATGAGAGAGCTGGGTGACTCAGAAAAAAGGTGAAATTTTGTAGAAAAAAGGTGAAATTTTGTAGAAAAAAGGTGAAATTTTGTGGGTTTCTAAAGAAAATTCCAATGCATTCCTAATGCATTATTTATTCCCAGTATTTTGGGAATAACTTTGTGAAAAGTTGGAATTTTAACACCAAAAGTCATAGCACCTCTTTCGGGATCAAGACGCACGTTTTGATGTATATATTACCGGGGTTTTCTCAAAGCTGCGGGACGAGTTACGCGCCAAAATAATAAGCCCGCCCCGAGGCACTCCTCTCAGCTATTCTAGCTGTAGAGGAGTGCCTCGGAGCTGAGCACCCGTGGCACTAATAACAACAGTTGATAATAAATAAACAACAATAATTAGATTGGTCCACTTCCTTTGGCTGAGGTGTTGTATAGCCTGATGGCAGTGGGAACAAAGGATCTCCTGAACCTCTCTGTTCTGCAGCGCAGTGAGATGAGACGTTTGCTGTCCTGCCAGAATGTTGTGGAGAGGATGGTTGGTATTGTCCAAGATGGCCTACATCTTACATTGCATGCGTCTCTCCACAACAGTCCTGAGTGAGTCCAGACTCCTGCCAAGCACAGACCCAGCCTTTTTGACCCATTAGGAAATGTAATATATAACATACATTATATATCTGTATTATACTGTATGTCCCTATATCAAAAGTGATGTTGCCATATAAATGTAAAATCCTATAGGCATATAATAATTATCACATATATATAATATATATATATATATATAATATATATATATATATATATATATGTATAATGTATAGTGTATATGTATATGTATATATGAAAATAGCCATAGTATCATTTATACATGCACATATTAAAAAATAGTATATGATAAATTTTCATATGGTATAACCTGTTGAGACCATATAATGGTAATGAATTATAATTGATTTATATTTACAACAAGTTTATTAAAACAATATAGGTATAAAGTGTATATGTGCTTATATATGTTTTTATTATTAATTTGTCAATAATGTTCAACATGTCTATCTTCCCATTCTGGGAAAGTGGTCTCAGACTTTTGGACGCTTCAGTTTATAATATCAATATACACTGACAGGCTTTGCATAACATATTTGGTCTTATAGTGAATTGTGTGTGTCAGTAGCAAAGGTAGACAATCCAGGACACTGTTAACCTGAACCATGACCACAATCTAACATACATCTGGGCTGTTTTGGAAGACAACAACAAATGACCTATGTTGTTATTCAGGTCAGAGGATTTATTGGAGATGGAATTAGAGGTGGGCGATAATGACAATTTAATGTGAATCATAATATGTGATGAAGATCTTTCATGGATTGGTTTCTGAAATGCTTTGGTTGCAATCCTGTGTAATGTACAAGGCAATTAGAGTCTCCAGATGTGTCAGAATGAAGGTGGATTACATTACAATGTGATCTGCTTCTCATCTGCACCAATCAGCGCTGCTTTAAGGGACAGGATAATAAACCTGAACTGAACAAAGTAAACACATTATTTCATGTAGGTCAGTGGTGTTTGTTTATTCTGCTCACCCATCGTCTCCACTCTTATTGGTCCAATCTAAGCTGTGACCCCAACATTTCTACAGGAGGTTGGTTACCTGTGCTTCTTATTTACACTTTACTCCCGTCACTTCTGTTTGTGTCTCATCCACCTCTGCACCTCAGATAATTCCCCCTGTAGAAAGGTGTGGTGGTTCAGCTGCTGGGTGTTGTGGGCAAAATATACATTTTTATGTTTCTATTGTGGGCATCACATTTACACAAGCATACAGAACATGTTTTTTTCCTTGTGACCATATAATATTGTTGTTGATTGACTTCCACCTCACATTACCATCTCATGTTCAGCTGTTAAAGCCATAAAAACACTGGTTAGGGTGTGTGTGTGTGTGTGTGTGTGTGTGAGTGTGACACAAAACTCAATTCCATAAGAGAGGCCTGACTTTAATCTCACAGTGGTGTCATGCTGCTCCCTAGTGGACCTTCAGCGCATTGACATTCCTGCACTACAGTTATCTGTTTGCCTCTGCCAGGATATTTGTCTTTTATCTAGGAGGCTTTTCACAGCTCTCTATCCTCTGCCTGTTCTCTGTGTAGTTTATCCATCTGGTCACTGGTTGAACTCCTGCCTGGTTTACATGTTTTGCTCACATGGTGACTGTTTCAGTGTTAGAACAGGGAAAAGATTCATGCTGCCAAAGATGGAAATAAAAGCTGCAGATAGTCTTGTTGCCTGTTTGAAGAATAGAAGAAAAGTTCATCCTCTTGAATCAGAATCAGGCTCAGTTCTTGTATATTTCAGATGTGATGTGAGCTCTTTCTCTTTTCCCTCTGTGATCAGTGAGGTCACAGCCAGGTTCTCCACAAGGGTTTGTTGGGTTTTATTTCTCATAGCTCATTCATGATAATATTGTACTCTTGACGTCTAACTGCTGGGTCTAATGGGTGAAGAAATACAAGCAGTCAGCCGACGAGACAAGTCGGACATAAACTAACCGGACAACCACATTTAAAAGCAACACCTGATGTATCTGTTATACAGTTAACAGCCCGGGTTCAGCTTTGATCAACTGTACTTGCTAAAGTTGTTAGGGACTATTACTAACTTTGTGGGTGCGGTCACTTTTGGTTTTACCTTCAAATGAAGCAGTAGATTCAGACTGTAAATTTACGATCATCTGACCTCAAGTTTCCTTCTCAATTACACATGAGGCTTTGGTGAAAGTTCATGTTCTGCCTTGTTCCTCTATGGGTTGACGTTGGCTATATCTATTACTCCCTCTTACTTCCACTTTCCCACGCTGTCAAATTCCCTCCATTCACAACCCTGACATCACTGTATTTGACCAATGACCAGTGACTGGATACTGTTCTTTGAATATCATTGCAATTCTGCCCGTCTTTCAGAACTACTCTTGTGCAGCCCACCTCCTCCCCATCACCACCATGACCTCCACGGTGTCCAGAAGTTTCCATCACCCACCGGCTGACAGAGTCCAGACTCTGGGGGATAATGTCATACAGGCCTACGCTTAATGAGGATGCTTCACTTCGATGGAGTCTACTCACCAAAACTCTCTCTGTTGCTTACCTTGATAAATTTTATTCACTTCCATTTGATCTCTCCTTATTGGACTATTTTTAGCAATGTCCCAGATCTGAGTTGTTATGTTTGTGAGTACAATGGCCAGAGATATGAAAATAAATCATAGTTTTTACTCTAACTTCAATGTTGTGGTTGTTGTCTTACTTTTGTCAGACCTGCACCAGAGTGAAAGTGATACATAAATGATGTATTTATAGTAACTAATTTTAGACGTAATTTTTGGACATAATTTTAAAAGTACGTTGAGACTAAATACCATCCACATTCATCATCTTAAAGTGTCAGAAGGATTGATTATTGCCCATGATCAATCCAAACATCTACATCAGTGACACCCTTAAAAGTAAAAGGTAGAATTTATGAATTCAACTGTGTTGACCATCAGGTGGGTGTCGTATTGTGTTCCTCTTTATGGTTAGAGGCTGTGGGATAGTTAATCATAATCATGATTTGGGCCTTTAATTTACTGTCTAATTGAACTCTATATGTGATGCACTTCATCAGAAACAAATGTAGACGGAGGTTAGTGCACTGATGAACTCATTTTATTGGTCTGATTTGTCACAGCCACAAATACACATAGCAACAGACAGAGATGGAGTCAAACAGTGAGACATTTTACATTGGTAGGATTTCTCCTTCTCCACCAATGAAAAGAAAGACAGTGATTCCAAATACAAAATATCCAAACAAAGAACAGATTATGGCTTTTTGTCTCTGCTTCACAGAAATGTCAGACACAGACAACAGGTCCAAATAAATAAAGACAGGAAGTCATAAAAAGACACACTATTCATAAGCCATTCCCAATACTGTACATCAAACAAACAAAAACAAACAGTACTAGCAACACGTTCATAGACGATCATACACAACTAGACTTGGGCTCATTTTGATGATTTGCAAGCAGTGAATCTTTATTTAAAAAAAACAAAAACATTATCATACCATTGCCATTAACTTCTATTAAAGGGATTTGATGACATTTTCCATTTTTTGCTGCTGTAGCATGTTGGCTTCTGAAGGCAAATTGTAGTTTCCATAAGTTTGAAACATTTTCTTTTAATGTAGCTTGAGTTTGGTACATGAAACCTTTGCTTGGTGGTCGTGGATAATCAATTTGCTAGATGGCATTTGGAAATTCACAGAAAATCATGTCAATTAAACCTTGAACCTTATAATATATTATGAATTATAACTTCAAATGAAGTGCTTGTCAGATCATCAAACAGCATTCAGATCCCCCTCCCCACACCGGTCCAATGTCTGAATTGGGGGGCTGATTTGAAGTAGTAATTGACCAGATGTGCAGAGGTGAAAAGGTCAGCAGAGGGTTTTAAATTTCATTCTCATTTTTTACACAACTTCCATATTGTTTTGTGTGAACAATCAAGTGCATTGCTTTATCTTTTCTTTTTAGTTCTATAAATCACCATTGATGAAAGAAATGTCATTGGAACAGCTAATAATAAAAATAAAAGCAGATGATACAGCCAGACAAAGCAGCAGCCTATCACAGAAGTTTCTCATCTTACAGTGAGACAGTAAACAATTTCAGATTCAAGATCACAGCCAAGATTTGGTCAAAGCAAAGCAAACAGAGGAAGGACGATCTGCCTCATCCATCTGGTCAATAACAGGATCTTCAGTTCAAACTAAAAAAGTCTCTTTGGAAGACACTGAACACTCTGCTCCATGTACAGTGTGTAAGTCCTACCAGTGATAATTTATATGAATAATAAATATAACTTACACTGATATAATGAACTTGAATAGAAAATGAAGATGCATGTGTGTTTGAAAGGATAAATTGTGGAGTGACTTGGTTCCACAATCATCACTCGTAGGCTATTCAAATTTATTACATAAAGGGTACAACCTCTGTCCCTTAGAAATAACGTTTCTATACTTTACGTTACATTTTTAACTGAACTAAACTAAATCACAAGATGTACAAAGCTCATGACTGTCACACCGGAGACTACCATTCACATCCAGAGTCCTGTCTGTGGTCAGGTTTCAGCGACTAAAGTGCTTTGGTTAAAGGAGCTATTTGTAAGTTTTGCTATTGCTACATACCTCACTTTATCATTAACAGCTGTTTACTTACCAGTCTAGAAGAAATGTTGCTAGTTCAGCATCAACTCCCTCCCCTTACTCACCAAGAGTTGAAGCCACTGTGGAAAGCAACCATCTTGTTTTGCTTCTACTTCTTTTACCTCTTTTCCTCTACTCAAGTTAGCATGCTAACCAGCTAGCTCCTACCCGGTTGGACTGTCTCAAAACTGTCTGATACTGAGTCACTGTAGCGTCCAGACTGCCCTGAAGAAGTTGCACTCTTCAGTGGGTCTTGTATTGTAAACATAACAATGGCTGAAGCTCTTGCCAAGCCTGGTAAGTAAACACCTGTCAATGCTAATGTTAGCTATGTAGCAATGGAAAATATTACAAAAGAGCACGATCACAGTTGGATATTTTGACACAAATATTTTGTCTGTGAACATTTCACTGATATGTTCTGTATCAACATATTTGTGACTTGCTAAATATGTAAATTAACAACATATCCTGATTATCTTTATAGAAAGTACAATCACATTTCCTACAAAATATATTGCTGTTGCAGCTTAGTTGTGTAGAAATGTTATTTCTAGGGAAGAGGGTTGAAATACCAACACTTTGAATAATAAATTGTATGACTTCAATTTAAAGTCACAAGAAATATAATTATTTTATTACTGTTTTCTTATTGATTAATGTAAAAATGCTCGTCACAGGTTGATGTACTCAACATTCTGATTTTGTGTGACCATTCAACAGTCAAAACCTAAAAGTACCTAAAAAATATTCCTTTAAAATGGTTCATAATGAAGTTTTGAATGGCTAAAATGATCAATTGTCAAAGCTAATCACCTGTCTACTCCATTCAACACTTCTTTAGTCATTACTACTGTAGTTATTCCCCAACTCAATTTACATCTAACAGCACTGTCAAGGCCAGAGATATAGTAGATTCAACCTGTGTTTAGAAACTGCATGGAGGTGAAACCAATATTGACCTCATGCCTTTGTTGAAAGGCAGAGTCAGACAGAGACCGAAAAGCAAATGCGCACAGTTTTACTCACATATATTTTGTCTGTGTAAGTCAAATGAGAACGTACTTTCTCTCTACTAATGAACCCAAGAACAGGAAGAGGTGATAGTGCTCATGCAAAACATACAGCACAGGAGACAAAATGTTGGACTTCAACATACAAATAAGTAGCTGTTTCACTTCAAGTAAGTCATCTGTGTGTATGTCATTCTGTAATGTTATTTGAATCATGGGTATTGTAGTGCTGAGGTTACAGGACTACTTGATGCTGTGAGCGATAGCTTAGATTCCCTCCTTTATAATGCAGGACAAACACAGCTCTGAGTGGCTCAGCACTGTTCTTGTGCTGGTGGCTCAGCACAAGAACAGTGTTTTCAAGGATAACTGACACTAAGTGGAGGGGAACTGTAACTTCTAAAAATTCAACAAACATCTTTCACAATTTCATTTGCTAAAATAGCTGTAAAGCCTAAAAATGTGCCGGTCACAGAAAGCATTTGGCCAGTATTTGACATGACTCGCCATAATTCAAGGAACCACTGGTATAAAGGCAAGTAGCAGAGAATGTGACGACCAGTTAGATCATGTGATTTAAGCCTCAAGCGGCATTTACACAAAAATAACATTAAGTCCATTTTGTCTTGACAGATAAATTGCATCACAGCATCAGAAAGAAAACCAAACTCTCTCTCTCCAATCTCTTTTTGAACATTGTAACTTGTACGACTAAACCCCAACCCCCCGCTACCTTTGTAGAACGTGTACAAAATGAAAATGGTGGTGCAAATGAAAAAAAATAGAACTTGGTATTTTACATTTAACAGGCATGAGTTTTTTCCATTCTTGCTTTCAAAATAAATTCACTGGAGGATTTTCTCCCGCGTGTCAGGTAGTTTGAGAGCCACGAGGCCACCGCACACCAGCGCTGTGAAAGACAGCAGGATGGGGACGGCTTTGGTGATGCCCACAAAGCTGGAGAAGATTGTGCTGCCAAGGATAGCTGCCAGCTTACAGAGAGCGTTCAGCACGCCGAACGCTGTTGCCCTGCGAAACCAAGACAAGACTTGGACTTTAGAAAACCCCTGAAACTGACACTATCACCAGTAGTTCTGAAGATTTTTAAATATGACATTCATATCAGATACAACACATTTGTGCACTACAACAGAATCATTCAGTATCATTGTTGCCAGTGTCTTCATCTGACACATACACATAAATGTCAGTACCTTTTAGAAGCAGGATACAGCTCCACGGTCACCACCTCGATGCCGTTCCAAGCAGCCACACTGATGCCACAGAAGAGACACTGTAGAGCAATGATTGCTGATTGGCTGAAGCTCAGGAACAGGAAGAAGGTACAGCCTGCTGAAGTCAGCATGGAGCCACCTGAGGAGATCACATAATCCTCACTGATTCATGAATTTTCTGTTCATGATTCAACTCTAGCTACTGATGAAAAAAAATACAAATAGCATCAACTGTCTAGTAAGAATTTAAATGTCTCATATAGTATAAAGGTAGATGTCTATGTGTTGTTTGATTATAAAGCAGGTCTAGGTTATATATTAATACTGTGAAAGTATCAAAGCCTCAGTCCACAGAGAAATGCACACAGCCTGTATTCAGAAACTGAGCCTTAAAACCAGCCGTCAGGACTTCTGGAACTTTGTGATGTCACAACAAAGCAGTCACCACCCTCAGCCATGCCCCAAGCCCACCTTGACCCACCATCTAATCTTGCAGGATTTGGTTTCTCTGAGTTTTTACCTGAAATCTGCTATATATTTATTCAATCACTCAGAAAACAATCAGCCAATCAGAAGAGAGGCTCAGAGAGGTATGGTAACACAACAGCAGTATGTTGTAGGGTTAGCATTAAAGATGAACATCCAAACCCATTTCCAACAGGAAGAGAAATAAACTGATGACAATTTACAAATGCTAATAACACCCAGTTATTATACAATACTAAGCCAACAATATGAGATAGTATGTCACATATTTAAGCATGGGAAAATAATTCAGAATTTTGAGTTAGGTCATAATTCTGATCTTAACACACAATTTTGAATTAATCCCTCATAATTTTGATGTAAAATCTTATGCTTTTCATGTAGCATCATAATTTTGTTATTATCGACATACTATGTTTGGAACTGTGTTTATTGATGCTTTAAATGACATCATCATAGATTACAAAGCACAGGGCTGAACTGTCCTTCATGACTTTGAGAATGACTTGAGGGTGTGTCTTCATTTTCATTCTGTGAATGAAGGAAAGAGCTAAAATGGGCATTATGGCTCATTTTTCAATGGTAAGTTATAGAAGAACACTCACAAGGATATTTAATTTCAACCGTAACCCTCTCTAATAACCTAGCCTGCTAAATGTGCAGACCTTAGTCCTATAGAGTAAGAAGCAAAAGAACCCACATGAAAAGTAAGAGGTTTCATGTGGGTGAGTAACTAAATATACAGATGTGACCACAGCAAGATAATATAAGGCTTGCAAAGTTGGTCATAACTACAACATCAACAACTCACCTATAATCTTGACCCTGCCGATCTTCTCCATGTAGAGGGCTGAGATGATGTTGCCTGGTAACACCGCCAGACTGCCCAGGAAGCTTACCAGGTAAATGAGGATGTCGTTCTCCTCAACACTGTCCATGTGGCAGCCGTGTTTGTTCTGCTCAAAGGTGGTGTTCTCCATCTTACAGTTGATGAACTTCTCCTCCCACAGGTCTACAAAGAACAGGAAGACCATGAGACGCAAGATGGAATTTATGGAAGAGGGTCAACGGTTGAGTCTTGGACCTGATTGAGTGAAACATCTGTCAAGGTTTTGTATATTATGGGTTCAAACCTTGAAGGGGTAGAACCCTATTGTGTTCGTGCTGGTTTATTATTATTTGTTGTCAATGGTTCAAATTGCTGGAATGAGCTAGAAACATGAAACTTCCCACGTCATCTGGAAATGATGAGCAAGCGCTTCTGAAGAAATCTGAGCCCAATCAGCCCGATGGTGACGCTGTAATTAATGCCCAATATGTAGTTTTGGAAAGGCCAAGCCCCCAGACCATAAGTTTGATTGACTTCTCTTCCTACGCCGTGGGTCTGATTACCAAATTTTCTGTCAATTATCATAGACCAGGCCTAAAAAAGTAATTTGAGCCTGACCTATAGAGGGCACCACAAATACCCAAAATGTGCACCTCTAAACTGGGTGGACAGCATTTCGCCATTTTTGGTGAACATGATCTGGGGACAAGTAACCAAAATCTGAAGTGCCATATTGAGTCCTATTGACTAAAAGCCACCATGATGGATTTCTAGCTGATTTGCATAATGTGAAATACAGTAATGTGACATCTAGTGTGTGGATGTCAACTCTATCAACACCAAATTTGGTATACAGCCTTGCAGGACTGAGATAAACAATTCTAAGTGAGTAACACTGGTTCAAAATCATGGCTGCTATCAATCAAAAAACCTTGCCAAAAGGCAGGGCATAGCAGGAAACTGGCTGTAATTAATGTCATTAATGATTTATCATTTTAAATCTTAAGAGATATTGTTGTCCGTGAATAGGAATAGGCCTACCAAAGCATTTTCAGCCTCGCCAATAGGGGTGCCACAAATACCTAAAACATGTACCTCAAAACCTGATGGAGAGAATTCCACCAGTGTTGATGCAACTAAAATCTGAAGTGCCGTATTGATTGATGAATGTGGGTGTGGACTATTCATTAATATCTACCATGTCATGCTGTCACTTAATTTGCCGTGAGCTGGAACAAGGTAGAGACATGAAACTTGACACCATAACTGGAAACTATGCAAACGCTTCCCATGAAATATGATTGGAATCAGCCTAATGGTGGCGCTATAATTAACAGCCAAAATAATCATCACATAAAATCATAGCAGGAAATTTGTTATAAATTGTCTTAGAGCAACCCTGATTAAAGTCAGTCACATCAATAATACTAATGTATTACTTAAGTTATACATGTGTGGAAACAATAAATCAAACATGGTTTCAATGGATCAATTGTAGCTGAAACAGGCCAAAAACTGGCCTAGCATCATAATAACACCTTAGTTTGCATTACCTCTGCCCTGTCAATGACTCCGGTCAAAGTATTTACTTTTACTAATTGCAAATTGCTAATTTGCTTTTTGGAGAAGAGTATCACCAGTGAGCAAGATAACATAGCTAATGTGACTTTGCTAAGCTTTGTCAAGTGTGAAACCTGCTCATTTGGTCAATTAACATGTTTCCTTCTGTGGAGCACAAAGAGGTTAGAGCCTGGAAATCACCATGTGTGGCTATATTTAAAAACTATATTTTTATATTGTTATTTTGCTCTCTCTACATTATTTACCTTCTATATTTCCCTATTGGATCATGACTAGGATCATTTCAAACTCAAATTGGAACAGTTTTAAAGGGAACAGCTATGAATTAATGAATATGGTGCTTATTATGGAGTTTTATGGTAACTTTGTTGTATCATTGTGCTGTGTGAGAATTAGGACTGTGAATTTTTCACTTGCATTGGTGGCCTTAATGGTCAAGATGACCAAGAGGAATCCTTACACCAAGCAAAACCAGTTTTAATGCAGATATGAGCAACTGTTGCTTCAAGAAAGTCATGACAAATTGTGAACACATTGCACAAGTAGTCAGCCCACACAAAGACGCTCTAATTAAAGAAAACAAGATCACGAATATTATTAAAATATGAGTGGAACTTTAAATGATGGGCTGGTATTTGTTCCTGTGAGTAAAGCTTTTGGTTGAACCCTCCAAACATTTAACCTCTAAGCTGCTTTCACAATCTCTCTGTACCGGAGCAGTACATCCTTCAGAGCCCTGCTCCTGCTGAACCTACCTGTGTTAAAGAAGACAGTGGAGCGGATGGTGCATTTCTCAAACATTGTGTCTGTGGACCTGATGTCCTCAAAGCGACAGTCTTCAAACAGTGAGTCCTCAAACTTCACTGACTTCATCTTTATACTGATGAACCTATGGGGATGGGATGGGACACACACCCACACACACACACACACACACAAACCAACAGACAAAGAAAACATGGACTCTTGCTTCTATTGCTGTGACAGCACAGAATCAGAATGGACAGAATGGGCTGAACTGTGTAAAATCCAAGATGGCCACCACTGATAATACTGCCATGGAGATAAGCACTGCTTCACTCGTGGACAGTGTGATGGAGTCAAAATGATGGAATGATCATCTCCATGGCGATGTTATAAGTGACAGCCCTGTTAGCAACACTATTCATGTTGAATAGAAAGTTAAAGCCCATCAAGTCTGTTTTTAATTCTGCAAAAAGCATAGAAGTTAAATAATATACAGTACTGACACATACTGTATATCTGCACTGAAAACTTTCCTCTGCAGAGGTGAAGCGTCCCTAAAGATACACACCCTCATTTTCTTACAGAACCCAACAGCAATCCCGGGGTCCTAAACCGAGTGAAAGTCTGCACTGCAGGGAAAACAGAGAGGTTTGAATGTCTGCACAGTCAATGACAGACACAAACAGAGTAGAAGGTGCCATCACCTCAGGCATAGACACGTCCTCAGCTGAAAATATTTCTCCTTGAGAAAAACGTTTTTCTTCTCCAGAGACTCATGAATAAAGATTGACAAGAGTAAAAAAAAAAAAAAAAAAGAGAGTGCCTGGAATACATATGCAGGCGTACTCCACACACACATAGCAACACTCTGCACTGTCAATAGAGGAACTTCATCATGGCCAAATGACTTATTATACATAAAAAAACAAACAAGCTGAAACTAACTGAACTTTGAGCATCTCCAGCTTATTCTGCAGAACCAGTTGTACAATAGGTCGAGTCCCAGTTTTGCCGGATAGAACATCTCCTGAAGCTCTGTCTGAGCTGCTGTTGGCTCCTTAACCTACTAACCTTTCCAAAGAAAGGTTAGCTAGTGGAAAGAATTGTCACAACAGCTTTCAGCTCACACACGCAACAGCTTCAGAATTTACACGCAGACAGGTGAGCTGCAGGCTCTCAGGTCAGTTATGATGTCACACACACAGGTGAGCTGCAGGATCTCAGGTGACCTATGATGTCACAGATACAGACAGGTGAGCTGCAGACTTTCAGGTGAACTGTGATGTCATAGATACAGACAGGTGAGCTGTGATATCACAGATACAGACAGGTGAGCTGCAGACTTTCAGGTAAGCTGTGATATCACAGATATAGACAAGTGAGCTGTGATGTCATAGACAAGTGAGCTGCAGCCTCTCAGGTGAGCTGTGATATCACAGATACAGACAATTGAGCCGTGATGTCACAGACAGGTGTGCTGCAGCCTCGAAAGTGAGCTGTGATGTCACAGATACAGACAGGTGAGCTGTGATATCACAGATACAGACAAGTGAGCTGTGGTGTCATAGACAGGTGTGCCGCAGCCTCTCAGGTGAGCTCTGATATCACAGACAGGTTAGCTGCAGCCTCTCAGGTGAGCTGTGATATCACAGATACAGACAAGTGAGCTGTGGTGTCATACACAGGTGTGCCGCAGCCTCTCAGGTGAGCTGTGATGTCACAGATACAGACAATTCAGCTGTGATATCACAGACAGGTGTGCTGCAGCCTCTCAGGTGAGCTCTGATATCACAGACAGGTTAGCTGCCGCCTCTCAGGTGAGCTCTGATGTCACAGGCACAGACAGGTGAGCTGCTGCCTCTCAGGTGAGCTCTGATGTCACAGACACAGACAGGTGAGCTGCAGCCTCTCAGGTGAGCTCTGATATCACAGACAGGTGTGCCACAGCCTCTCAGGTGAGCTGTGATGTCACAGATACAGACAATTGAGCTGTGATATCATAGACAGGTGAGCTGCTGCCTCTCAGGTGAGCTCTGATGTCACAGACACAGACAGGTGAGCTGCAGCCTCTCAGGTGAGCTGTGATGTCACAGACACAGACAGGTGAGCTGCTGCCTCTCAGGTGAGCTCTGATGTCACAGACACAGACAGGTGAGCTGCAGCCTCTCAGGTGAGCTGTGATGTCACAGACACAGACAGGTGAGCTGCTGCCTCTCAGGTGAGCTCTGATGTCACTATCAAAGATAAAACCAAACCTTCGTCCTGGGACCTGAGGCCTCTGTCCTCCCTCAGCTTCACTCACTTTGATTCACAGCTGAGTTTTAAAACGCTGTGCTCAGAGGAACCCGTGGGATTTACAGGTGCTGTAACAAAATCTCAGGTGTATCTTTATTAACTTCACCCACATGGATAACAAACCTCTGACGTGTGTATACAACATAAAACTGTTTATAGTTTCCAAAAACAGTGATAAGTGAAAATAAAACTGTGAAGTCTTCATAAGCCTGTGGAGGTTTACTCTCTTCACCATGTAACTCAATGGTTTTCTGTTCTGACCATCAGCATGTGCAGTGAAGTGATTACCTGTAGACATTTAGCTAATGTTCATGAGCCACAGCATGCTGCTGTCTGATAACAACATAACTGAGAATGAAATGACTGATAGACCCAATAATAACACTATGTGTGTTCACTGGGGGGGGGGGGGTCTAAACAGGAAATGGAAAGTAGTGCCGTCTTTGAACATGACCATCTCCGGCTTCACACTGCTGACTGCTTTCAAAAAGATAATGTTGGTGCTGTTCTGCATCAGTGTTGACAGCGGGGCATGTTAGCACTCAGCATTATGTAAAAACCAAGCTGCTATAGAAAGTGCAGTAATAAATGCCATAAATGGTCATACTGTATAATTTCTGCTGAGTAACTTACTGATGATGGTTTTCCAATAAAGTAAAGAGACTAATCTACTAAAAAAAATATATACATTCCAAGCAGTTGCTTTATAGAGAAAGAAAATAAATCTTTTCATACATTTGTTGTCAATTAGTTTTACACTGCAAGTTCGTAAAGAGGATGAAATTGGAGGAGGATTTCTTTAATTTCAGTGTTTTATTTGCTATTTACTTTTAATTGAAACTAACGCAGATTAAAGTAGAGTATGTTACTTTATATACACTTTACTATAAATTTGTCTGCTTGCTTTGTATCCACACAGTGAAACTTACTTGTCATTGATATATTCTCCTTCTCTATGGATTTGGTTCTCCAGAGAAAAGTTAAAATGGTAGTTCTCCACTCTTTCTCCATGGAACACCTGAAAAGAGACAAAACGTTTAAAGAAATTTAGAGAAATTTGTATTTTTATGGGTTAGGGTTAGAGTTTTTGGTTTCATGATGGTGCCGCCTAGTATTGCATGAATTCAATGAGATAGGTATCTGTCTCCACAGATGGAGAACTTGTTACGATACAGCCAATCAAATCTTACATAAAGTACTGACATTAGTGTCACAGAGTCATGGTAATCCAGAGCAGCAGCCTGTAAGATGCACTAACAGTGTCATGTGACCAATTTATATCACTTAGCCTACATATATTTTAGCAGAGTTTACTATATTGATTTTAATTGCAAAGCAGGAAGGCTGTGAAGGAGAGTCTTTCACATTTTTCATGTTTGATAGTTGTTTAAAACATTTATTAGTTGTTACACTGCAGACACATGTTATTTATATCTATCCCTTCTAGTTTGTGTGTAAAGTACTATGTCCTGAATTCACCCTCCACAGCAGTAGGTGAAATAAAGACACATTACACATTTTTCAATACACATGGTCACATTAAAGCTATGAAAAAATATGAAACATGCAAGAAAAAAATATTATTATTATTAAATGTACTTGTATACACTACAAATAATGTACCCCCTTTTTCACTAGCTTTCATGTCATGTGACCCAGTGATTTACAATCTATTTTAAAATGTGGGGCTCCGTGGCACAGAGAGGAAACAAACTGTTCAATCTGCTCAATTGACTCATAGTGCCACCTGCTGTCATGGAGGGTGAATTACTCAGGACATTTGGGAGAAAATCACAATAATGGTGGAAAGGTTGTGCCAAAGATATCTGTTGTTCAAGTTGCGGGAGGGAATTAGCTCCATTATAGTCTCTTCCTGTCAAAGCAGGACGAAATGATGTGTATCTGAATCACTGTTGACCTTACCTTGACCTTGGACCTGTACTCCATGTACTGAAGGTGTTTGATCATGTCAGGAAACCAAACAGACAGACCATAGTAACTGTGATGAAATATAGACAGAGAGAAGACAAGTCAATAAAAGGAGCATAAAACAACCAGAATGTAAAACTGAAAGACTGCAGTGCCCTTTGTCACATTAGGGACCAGAGCTTTGTTCCTTTGCTTTGTAGTGTGTTCACTCTTTACAGTGTGAATAGTCTGAGTTAGGGGCCATGTAATTACAACATGCCTGTTTTAAATCTGGCTATGCTGTCACATGTCACCCCCTTGATTTCTTCCTTGTTGTCAGCCTGGATGATGGCGTCATACATGATATTTACATGACATCATGAACTCACCTGAAAGCCATGCAGAACCAGATGACGGCCATGAAGAGTGTAGCGTAGCGCAGCTCTGCAGACAGGAGAGACGCCACGTTCCTGAACACCTGGGACAAACACACATATACAGCAGTGAACCAAGAACCAGGTCAGATTCAGTGCTACTGACTATCTGCTCTCTCTTCACAGCATAGCTACAAAATAAGGGCACATTTTTACAGTTACATATTCATTAATCCTACAGATACAGTAGGTGACACACTCTGGCCCTAAACCATACTGTAACAGTGAGGTGAAAACCTCTGTCTCATCTTTTAGGAAAAGGTCTGCTAGTGTTTGGGCCTCTGGATGGAAACCCCGCATCCATTCTGCACTGAGGCCTCAGTCTTCACCACTGACTGTTTGTACTGTACGTACCAGTTTGCAGAGTGTTAGTGAGCGCACAGCCCATCGTTGTACAGCTGTTCCTGTAGCACTCTGAATCTCTATGAACTCGTCCTCTGCTGTTTTAGGAGCCTTGATGTGAGTCACCTGAACAAATAAAAGAGAAGGAAAATGTGAGACAACATGTGATCTTAGTCAAAGTAACTCCTCCTGAACATAAACTCTTAACATCATTATGAGCTTTTGTCTGTTGGTCACAGTTTTCAAATTCAGCTCCTCCACCCGACCCTGAAATCCTTTTGTTTCCTTCCCTCATCTCATGCAATATACTGACTTATAAAGACATTCAAGGCATGGTGAATCAATGTTAACTGGACTTGGTTGTAGATACGTGAAAAGTTCAGTTGCCCTCGATTGAACTTTTCTTGGATAAATGACCCGAATGTAAGAGAATCTTCACAGACATCCTAAAATGAGATTTATCAATCACCAGATTTGGGGGGGAAATGTGTGTATGTGTGTGTGTGTGTGTGTGTGTGTGTGTGTGTGTGTGTGTTTGTCCACAGCCCTGACAGGTATTCTGAGATGTTTGTGGCAAATTGTGTCAACTGGGTGACAGGTCTGTGGAAACACCTGGATGCTCCTTGTATCTATTCACATCTGTATCTGAATGTATTTGTATGGAGTGACATTCATGTGGGATACTTCCATGTACTCACAGTGAAGACTTTTTCTGGCTGTCCCTTGGCCCTCCAGTTGGTGTCATGGACCTGCTTCAGGATCATCCAAGCCTCATCGTGTTTGGCGTTCTGCTCAACACACACACACACACACACACACACACACACACACACACACACACACACACACACACACACACACACACACACACACAAACACACACATATACAAACATGCACACAGTTTGCTTCTTTGCATTTCTTCTAGACGTCCTGTGCGTATTGTACAGTATGTGCATGTATTTGACTCCACTCAGTAACCACCATCAGTTAGAAGCAGTGAGCAGTGAACTTGATGTTTATGCAAGCAAAGCTTATGTAAGGCCTCCACGGTGCACCACCAAGGTTACAGCAGTGCATGATCAAGTATGAATGTGTAATACATTATTGATTTGTTCAGCATCATAGCGGTTTCTGTGCTCCTGGTTGAAATCACAAGTAGTTTTCTTGCACATTATTCGGTGGGATGGCGAAGAGTCTCACCTCCAGGAGGAAGCGAGGACTCTCAGGCATGAAGGTGAGTCCAACCAGAGACATGATCGCAGGAAGAGCCGCAACCAGGACAAAAACCCGCCAGCTGTGGAACTGAAACTCTGTACCCATACTGAACCCCCAGCCTGTACACACACACACACACACACACACACACACACACAAAAAGGTCCATTCAGAATCTGTGTGTTTTAAGAAGTTGGATGACTGGTGTGCTGATCGCCACACTGTAGAGCCTGTTGTTGACCATTAGACAAACTTTGCTTTCAGACTTAAAGGTTTCATTATTCCTCCACACCTCACAGGTGTTTTGAGTTATTCTGGATGACTGAATAGGGAGAAGGTAGACAGACCGCTGCAGGGAGCTGTGTGAGGTCACCTGACCTGGTAAAGTTCAAATGTCCTCCTGTAGGAGCTGGACGATCATGGCGGCGCAACCAATCATATGTGATCAGTTACTATAAATGAATGAACAGCTCCTGCAGCAATATGTATCACTGTGAGCGGAAACAGCATCAGCAGTGGCAGCAGAAGTAAACTGCATGTACATTGGCGGCTTGATGGATCTGCCCACCAAGGACTGGCTGTGGGCATTTTCAGGCACGCACATCTGCTAAGTGTTTCTTCCTGCTTAGCTGGGCCTGAACGTCCCGTTGCCTGGGAGGGTTGTACTGATGGACCATTTACACGAACAGAGGGATATGTTTTTAAGTTTGATGGGATGGAAAATGACTAATTATTTGTCCATATCACATCTACAAAAATGGCTCCTTACTGTATGGGTCAAAAAAAAAAAAAAAACGTTTGCAGGTCATTCTTGTGAAGACCTAAACTCTATTAGTTGTCTGCATCGTGTGAAAACCCACTGGGAATAATATAATAATAATAATAATAATAATAATAATAATAATAATAATAATAATTTTACAGCCTACTGTCCTGGTCCCTGTACCCCCAATAGCAACAGCACAGTAATTTCACACACAAACAATCAAAAAGAGTAAAATGGTCAAATCTGTGGACTGTTTTTCT